TTTTTTTTAGTAAGTTCAATAAATAATATTTGCATGATCTCACGTTAGTTAAAAATCTTTATCGTGGCATTACATTTAGGCATACTAAAAATCGACTTGCTGTTTTAAAAAAATTTTTGTTAATGTTTCAGGCTGTCTGTATCGAAATGTAAAATTATAGAAAGAATCGACTGTAGAACTCTTGTCTTTGTGTGATAACTTAATGGCTGGAATAAAATTAAAAATAGTATCTTTAAAATTGATATTTTATTGTAACTCATGAATAGGTCATCAGCCTGCCAGGCATACGGAAGTGGCCAGGACCAGGATTCACTTTCTTCACTTTAGTGTGTCTTGACACTACTCCAAGTCTTGACGCCTTTGGCCAGTTAGGGTCACCTTCGTCTTTCAGGGGAATTCTCTACAGGTAAGTGGTGATTTATCAAAAATCAATTGTCAACAACATACAGTTACAAAATTTCAATAGTTAACAGATTGTGTATTTCTCTCATATATTAATAAAATTAAACAAGAAAAATTAACAGTTATTATGTAGTCAAGTTAAAATGCTACACATTTTATAATCCTGTTGTATCTGTTTTTTTTTTTTTAATTTGTATTTTTTTTTTTTTTTTATTTAAGTGCTAAACCCCCATTCCCCTTTCCTACTTAATAAAAAAAAATCATTATTTTTACAATGAAGCTAATACAAGTACATTAACGGTTTTTTCCTTTTCAGTTTCAGCAGTTTGATTTCATTTTTGATGATGTTTTTTTGGTATTGAAAAGTTTGAGATTAATTTTCTTTTATCTCATAAAATTTTTTTATGAGGGTCATTTTTTTTTTTTACCTTTGGAAAAACATTTAACATCCCTTTAAATTAAAAAAAAAAAAAAATCTAGACTCAACCCACTCTTACCCAACCCTTTAGATATACTGTTCCAGTGTGTTTGAGCAAAGTGACATGTCTTGAATTATATGTCTGAGTAGAGGCAAAACTGTAATTGGAAATACACATACATACAAGAATAAAGACATAGAAATAGAAAGAGAGAAATATATATTTTTAAAAATTTATTACTATACTGTAAAATGAATGTAATTGAATAATAAATTTAAATGTATACTTTTAAATTTCACTCTAGTATCCAAATTTTGGTGAGACTGAACATTTCAATGTCATGCTCAAATTTTAATGGACAGAGCTTTTGTTGTGAAAGTACTTAAACATCAACATTGTTTTCAACAAGGAAGAGTCAGACTTGCCATGACAATTATTATTTCTGAAAGTAGTTGTGTGGCTAGGCCCCATTACTGGTCATAAGGTGTCACAGGGAACTTTACAGTAGGCTCCCTTGACAGGGCATCAGGTGTCACTGGGAACTTTACAGTAGGCCCCCCCCATGACTGGTCATCAGGTGTCACAGGGAACTTTACAGTAGGCCCCCCATGACAGGTCATCAGGTGTCACAGGGAACTTCACAGTAGGCTCCCTTGACATGTCATATGGTGTCACGGGGAATTTTACAGTAAGTCCCTGTGACAGGGCATCAGGTGTCACAGGCAACTTTACAGTAGGCCCCCATGACAGGGCATCAGGTGTCACAGGGAATTTTACAGTAGGCTCCCTTGACAGGGCATCAGGTGTCACAGGGAACTTTACAGTAGGCCCCCCATGACAGGTCATCAGGTGTCACAGGGAACTTTACAGTAGGCTCCCTTGACAGGGCATCAGGTGTCACAGGGAATTTTACAGTAAGTCCCTGTGACAGGGCATCAGGTGTCACAGGGAACTTTACTGTAGGCCCCCATGGCAGGGCATCAGTTGTCACAGGGAATTTTACAGTAGGCCCCCCATGACAGTGCATCAGGTGTCACAGGGAATTGTACAGTACAGTAGGCAGGCTGGAGAAGAATGGGTGTGAATGTGTCACAGAACTAAGCACCTACATAACTGTGTCACAGAACTAAGCACCTACATAACTGTGTCACAGAACTAAGCACCTACATAACTGTGTCACAGAACTAAGCACCTACATAACTGTGTCACAGAACTAAGCACCTACATAACTGTCACAGAACTAAGCACCTACATAACTGTGTCACAGAACTAAGCACCACTTCATATCTGTGTCACAGAACTAACCACCTACATGTTTCACAGAACTAACCACCTACATAACTGTGTCACAGAACTAACCACCTACATAACTGTGTCACAGAACTAACCACCTACATAACTGTGTCACAGAACTAAGCACCTACATAACTGTCACAGAACTAACCACCTACATGTTTCACAGAACTAACCACCTACATAACTGTGTCACAGAACTAACCACCTACCTAACTGTGTCACAAAACTAAGCACCTACATAACTGTGTCACAGAACTAAGCACCTACATAACTGTCACAGAACTAACCACCTACATGTTTCACAGAACTAACCACCTACATAACTGTGTCACAAAACTAAGCACCTACATAACTGTGTCACAGAACTAAGCACCTACATAACTGTCACAGAACTAACCACCTACATGTTTCACAGAACTAACCACCTACATAACTGTGTCACAGAACTAACCACCTACCTAACTGTATCACAAAACTAAGCACCTACATAACTGTGTCACAGAACTAAGCACCTACATAACTGTCACAGAACTAAGCACCTACATAACTGTGTCACAGAACTAAGCACCATTTCATATCTGTGTCACAGAACTAACCACCTACATGTTTCACAGAACTAAGCACCTACATAACTGTCACAGAACTAACCACCTACATAACTGTGTCACAGAACTAAGCACCTACATAACTGTGTCACAGAACTAAGCACCTACATAACTGTGTCACAGAACTAAGCACCTACATAACTGTGTCACAGAACTAACCACCTACATAACTGTGTCACAGAACTAACCACCTACATAACTGTGTCACAGAACTAACCACCTACATAACTGTGTCATAGAACTAACCACCTACATAACTTTGTCACAGAACTAACCACATACATAACTGTCACCAACATGGAAACAATAAGAAAAAAATACAATTGAGGTAAAATTGTTATTAGCACTCACACACGTAGAAGTGCAACAATAAGAGAGACTGATTAAAAAATCTAATGCTCACACTATTTCAGCATTCTGTATGTGTTGGCAATATTGCTGGCAGGAGGTTCTCCAGCAGTCAAGGTCAGGTGTTTGTGTACATTGATGGCGTTTTGCCAACCAGCGCTTACCTCAAGTTTCCAAGTCTTTCAGAGGTAAAAATTTTATTCACGCAGTACTGAACCAGTTTAAAACTGAATGAAATAGTTGAACAAGGTATGTGAAAGCTTGAATCAAAAGCCAAGACAATAAGATGTGAACGTTTCGACTTAATGCCTTCTTCAGCAAACAAGACAAATGAAAATGCAAGAAATGGAGCACTTAAAAAAAAACTTTAGAGATCTCCTTTGTTTCTGCCGGATGATTCAACATAACTTGTTCTACTATTTCATTCACACAGCTTGAATGGAGTCCTTCAATTATTATCTTTTAAAACTGAAGCATATATAATTGTAAAAAAATTAAAAATGTAATTCATAACCTTATTTTTTTGTTCTGGTTCATGTTGTATCTCACCTATTTTATAAACTTCCCTTGTCTGCCTTGTCACAGCCCTTCAACATCTGTAGGGTGGGATCACCAGGAGTTAGGATTGGAGTGGAAGCAGTCAATGACATACCAGCATACCACCAAGCAGAAGTGAAAAAAGTCTCTCCACTCATCAAATTTACTTTTGCGGTAGGGATAATTTAAAAGAAATAGTTGATTAATGCATGAATTTTAGCCAATTCTTCATTTCTGTTCCAGTCTTAGATTGGTTATTAGATATTAGAGAGTAATGATTGAATTGATTTTCTACACTCTGATGGAAAGGTATGTGGGTACACTTGATTTGTCAGTAGCTGATTTTAAAGTATCTTATTTTGGCAGTAGCTGATTTGGCAGTATCTGATTTGGCAGTAGCCGATTTGGAAGTAGCTGATTTGGCAGTAGATGATTTGGCAGTAGCTGATTTTAAAGTTACTTCTAAGGCAGTATCTGATTTTAAAGTAGCTTATTTGGCAGTAGCTGATTTGGCTTTAGCATTAGAGTTTCAAAGATATTTATTTTTAACCACAGTTTAAATATTTTTAGTTTATTTTTCCTCCAAAATTATGTTTGATAGATTTCTAAAGACATCATAATTTGTATTAGAGTGAACTGCCCATCCTCTGCTGGTCAAATAAATATAAAAATAATTTTATAAATTTTGCCAAAAACTTGTATAAGATGATGGCTTAAATTTGCGTTTGAAGATCATAAATGCAAATGTTAAAGTGCTTGGCCTATCAAGAGCGGGCTGTGAGGTGGCTATGAAGTCCAATCATCTGCTCATGGAGAGTTAGAATTTATCTTGTTAATGTCTGGGGAAAATAGCAAGAATCTCTCCTGTCTGGGAAAAATAGCAAGAATCTCTCCTGTCTGGGGAAAAATAGCAAGAATCTCTCCTGTCTAGGAAAAGTGCTGCTTACGTTGTTCCTGTAATTGTTTGTTTTCACTGTACCTGTAATTGTTTACGTTGTACCTGTAATTGTTGGTTCGTTTGTTTCCACTGCACCTGTAATTGTTTACGTTGTACCTGTAATTGTTTGTTTTCACTGTACCTGTAATTGTTTGTTTTCAATGTACCTGTAATTGTTTGTTTTCTCTGTACCTGTAATTGCTTGTTTTCACTGTACCTGTAATTGCTTGATTCCGCTGTACCTGTAATTGTTTGTTTTCACTGTACCTGTAATTGCTTGATTCCGCTGTACCTGTAATTGCTTGATTCCACTGTACCTGTAATTGCTTGTTTCTGCTGTACCTGTAATTGCTTGTTTCCACTTAGAGCTGTAATTGCTTGTTTCCGCTGTACCTGTAATTGCTTCTTTCCACTGTACCTGTCATTTCTTGATGTTTGTGAACTTGACTCCCTCCAGAGCTGAAACTTGAACACAACCAGCTGGCTGCCTTCATTGCCATGCTGAGGGATGTGCTCAAAGGAAAGACAGTCAACAAAGACAACTTTGTCAGGACCCTTTGTGCTTCAACTTTGCAGAATGTAAGAAAATGTTGACAAACCTACTGAGACATAAATGTCTTTAAATGTGAAAGTAAAACATGTATAAGGGGACATAATTTACTTAGGGGTCGTTTGCAAATTACATCACACTCAAAATGACCTTTTCAGACCCCCCTCCCCTCGTCATAAAGTATCAGAAATTCTTTACCCCCACTTTGTGTAACGTAACACCTAAAAAAATCCAAAACAAGCATAAAATTTCATAACTAAACTAAGATTTTATTTTATTCGTTAACATTTTCTCATAAGGGATTAAGATGCATTATTATTAAAAAACTGTGAAGTAAAATGCAAAACAACAAAGTCATCACCGAGCCAAAAGTAAAATGGCGATATCATCAGTTAATGCGTCATTTTTTGGGCCTATAATACCAGAGGCAATTTCGACATAGAAAATGAATGTTTTTAAAATTAATTGAATAAAGAGTTTTTAAAATTAGAACATTTTAGATTGTTTTACTTTCTTTATTTTGTGACGCCATAAATTTTTTACCCCCCTCCCCTGTCCCAAGTGTCACAAATTCCCCCCCCCCCCACCCCCAAATGTGATGTAATCTGTGAACGACCCCTTACCCTTTTAAGATTAAAGTTATAGACTCAAATTTTGAATTATGTTTTTCAACTCCAACCTAAATCCCTAGATTAAATTGACCCAATCATGTTTGAGTGTCACTACTGTCACTACTGTCAGGTTCATCGTGACATCGTGATGTCAATCTAGTACCTGATAGAGGATTGTGACGACACACCCAGTGTGAAGTCAACACTTCTGCAACACATCTACCACTACATCCTGTTTGACTTCTCACTGTGAGCAAGACACACTTTGCAGTGAGAATAGTAACAAAAAGCAAGACACATTTTCCAGTTAGAATATGTAACAAAAAGCAAGACACATTCTCCAGTTAGAATATTTTTTAAAAAATCTAGACACATTTTCCAGTTAGAATATGTAGCAAAAATCAAGACACATTTTCCAGTTAGAATATGTAGCAAAAAGCAAAACATTTTCCGGTTAGAATATGTAAAAAAAATTTAGATATTAAAACTAAAGGACTGAATGAGATTAATAGTATGTGCATTTGATTGATCAACTGTTTAATTAAAAAAAAATATATAAATATTGTTTCCTAGGACACATCCAGTATCTAATCCGCCATCATCAAAAAAGATCGCAAATATTTCCAAAAGAAGTATGGTGTGCAGTTTTTCCTGGATATCATCAGAGCATACTACGGGTAATCTTGGACACTGGACACGTTGTTGGTGTTTGTTTACCTTTAATCATGTTTCATTCTTTTTTTTCCTTGATGGTCGAGACTGTATAAATATATTTTTGACTAATTGTGTTGGACAAATTTTTTTAGTGCTTATATTTTCATGTACAAAAGAAGGAAAATTGCAACAGATACAGTTCGGGATTTTTTTTTTTTTGGTAGTCAATATGGGTATCTAATGGCATTAGAGGAGGTTTCAGTGTCTAGTGTAGTGCTCCCAGTGAAATTATAGGGACAAATATTGTATGAACAAGAGACAACGTATTTCATTGCCATCCGTCACCTCAGCAATGAGAGCTACATTTATTTGAATTAAATTCAAATATAAATTTTAAAATTGTTCATCAATTATTTTACTGCCTCCCGTTGTAGAGCTAGATCAAGTTGTTTGATGTTGTTATTTCAGCACAACTGCCGACAGCGGGCTAAGTGAAGAGGACAGCAAGTCCATATGCGTGTCCCTCCTGCAGCTCATCACGTTCTACATCATGAACAGCATCACGGTGGAGGAGCTGACCCAGCTCATAGGATTTATTCTGTCCGTCAAACAACCATCACTGGTGAGCCAATGGTGTGCCGCCCGGCTGTGCTGCGCCAAGTTGTTTGTTTCAGTTATGAATGAACACAGGTTTAAATATTTTTAAAAAAAAGAATCAAAATACCTATATATGTGGTGCTAACATCTTCATAAATATCTTCTTTTTTTCCACTCACCTGAACTGTTGTACTTTCAGCAAAGCGTCAAAAGTGTTTCCTTATTCATAAAAGTAGAATCAAATTATAAAATGTTCACATCTGTGACATAAGGTTTCCTTAAAATAAGTTAACACACATTTCCTCCCCATCATGTATAAGATAAATAATGGGCTGGTCAACTGCTCCAGCATTAAACAGAAACTCATCCATCTCCCCCATAGACAGCGATGAGGCCATGACAGGCAGGTCCGGCTCATAAAAACAAGAACTCAGTACAGGAACTGCTCATTCCTGCCAAAGACAATCATGGACTGGAACAAGCTTTAAAAAGCAACAGTTTAGGCGTCTACAAATGATACATTTACTTCTGTTGCCTCCTGTCTTCCAAACCCCAGTTCATAAAACCATCGCTGAGTAGCCCTTGCAACCAGTGATGTATCCCTTTCAAAACCATGCACAGTTAAATTGCGGAACCCCTCTGAAACAGAATGAATAATACATTGATCGTGCGCCCTCAAAATATAGAAGAAAAAGGGATAGAATTTCTGAAAGACCTTTCTCGGTGTTTTAAAACAATAATAAACATTTTAAGTTATCATTCCCAGCTTGTACAGTTTGGGCTGGGTGCTGATGCCAGTCAGCCAGGACACTGTCTTATTGGGATTCTTAATGTAGGCCCTATGTTTTATGTCTGATCCCCCCCTCCCAGGTCCTGGAGTCCATGGACCTCATGATAGCCTTGCTGGAGAGCCCAAGTAGAAAACAAGATCAGCTGGTACTGCTGCTGTATGAGCAGAACCAAGCTGTTGACCCACTCTCACCAGCCAATTATATTCTATGAGAAGGTGGTCAAGGTGTGACTTACGTAATGTTTCTTATGGGCTTATGGCTCCGGTCATTTTTTTTTTTTGATGATGAGGGCTGCCAATCAAACTTTTTAACCTCGTTATTAAAGGAGACTCTGTGATACACCAACTAAATTAGAGTACTGTATTAAAATATGCAAATATAGGTCATTGAATGTCAAGGACAAGCTTTATAAACAGTTCTACATCACTCAGATCCTCTTCATCATCCGGAAGACCAAGAGAGTGTATGAGAAAAACAAGTCCCGGCTGAAGCTGTCAGACATTGGCCATGCTGGTCTCATCAACTTGATGGCCCATTATGATCAAACGTTTCATTGAACAAGTGGCCTTTACGGGTAATTTAAAAAAAAATTTTCTATACTATTGATGGCAATGTCATGGCGACTGCTGCAAGTTTTTTTAGAATAATACTTTAAAGTGTTTATGGTGAAAGGGAAAATGATGAAATCTTTGAATTGAAAGCCTTCCCTTCTTCATAAAAGATGTCAATTGAATATTTCATCTATTCTAATACGTTTGCATTTATTTACACAGAAACTCCCCAGACCTACAGTGCAGTGTTATCTGTCCTTGGCTTTGTTCACAGTTGTGGTCTGGACATTAAATCAGAGGCTAGCAGACAGGTGAGGTCATGTTTGACACTTTCAATAGACTAGACATACAATCTGTGGCAAGCAGACAGATGAGGTCATGTTTGACACTTTCAGTAGACTAGACATACAATCTGTGGCAAGCAGACAGGTGAGATCATGTTTGACACTTTCAGTAGACTAGACATACAATCTGTGGCAAGCAGACGGGTCAGATCATGTTTGACACTTTCAGTAGACTAGACATACAATCTGTGGCAAGCAGACAGGTGAGGTCATGTTTGACACTTTCAATAGACTAGACATACAATCTGTGGCAAGCAGACAGGTGAGGTCATGTTTGACACTTTCAGTAGACTAGACATACAATATGTGGCAAGCAGACAGGTCAGATCATGTTTGACACTTTCAGTAGACTAGACATACAATCTGTGGCAAGCAGACAGGTGAGGTCATGTTTGACACTTTCAGTAGACTAGACATACAATCTGTGGCAAGCAGACAGGCGAGATTATGTTTGACGTTATGTAGTATCATGTGGCCAAAAAGCAGCGGCACCACTATCAACAGTAGAGGCACCTTTTAAACAGTAGAGCCGCCTCTATAAACTGTAGAGCCGCCTCTATACACTGTAGAGCCGCCTCTATAAACTGTAGAGCCACCTCAAGTCCTTTGGATAAAGTTTAAAAGCTTAAACTCGAGGCTGAACTAAAAACTAGTTTATTCAAGTTAACTGGAATTGGAGGGGGACTTTCCCCCTCCTCACCCCCCCCCCCCCCCCCACCCAGCTAAATCTATGGCATCTGCTTGTTTAACCGGCCCACTATCACTCAAAGTGTTTTCTTGCTATGTTCAGCCCTATTGCATACATCCCCTATAGCTTAAACTCTTTAAGCCAGCTACACCACTGCAGTGGACATATTGTAATACTGCTATCAGAGTTTATACATTCTCTCAGTTTCCTTGTTCTGACCTCAGTCTCTCTTCTCCCACCAGCTTTTGGCCATCATTGTCTCTAAGTCAGGGGCAGCTAAAGTCTTTGCCAAACAGCTGGGCTGGCAGGAAAACATCACCAGGCTTCTCACTGTGGAAAGGAGGCGCGCCTTCACCCTGACCAACCCATTTAAAGCTGACTCTTCTCACGCTGAAAGCAGGTCCTCTGGAGGGGGGTCTGTCAAGCTACTTCAAATGGACCTCACCTACATTTGCCAACACTATCAGAGTCACTGGACCAACATATCCCTAACGTACCTGTGCCGACACTATCAGAGCCGCTGGACCAACTTGTCCCGTCCACTATAGCAATACCTGGCAGCTTTCCACCATCAGCCCCCCACATCATATGACGACTCATCCAAAGGCCTATCGTTAGATGTAAGCCAGTTGAATGCTGGTACAGGCGCATCCCACCCATCACCACCCACACCTGTCACATTCGACAACAATTCTGCAGACAGCTTAGGTATTACAGGTACGTATCTTTGGTATTTGAACCTTTTACTCCGGGAGCAGATTCAGGCTCAACATTTTCGGTATTTTGGTTGCATTGGATGTAATGTCTGGATGAGGGATGGCGGTGTTAATCCATGCCGCCAGACGTGTGATGACAGGTTGATGGTAATAAAAAGGTTCACGTCTCTGTCAATAATGTTATATACTCTCTACAACGAAATACCTAAAGATAAACAGCACCAAGGAGCTTTCATGAGCCTATAAGATTTTTAAAAAAAATTCTAATCCATAATCTTGCAAACATGTCATTTGTTAAATTACTCAAAATTTAACTTGATCTCTTATACCATTTTTCTTCCCCCCCCCCCACCCCCCAACCAGACCATTTGAATAAGCCCAGAGACCTCCTCTTGCAATCCTCCCCTCCTGCTGTCACAGTGAACCAACACGGTGAAGAGATCAAGAATATGATTACATGTCATTTGTTAAATTACTCAAAAATTAACTTGATCTCTTATACCATTTTTCTTCCCCCCCCCCACCCCCCAACCAGACCATTTGAATAAGCCCAGAGACCTCCTCTTGCAATCCTCCCCTCCTGCTGTCACAGTGAACCAACACGGTGAAGAGATCAAGAATATGATAGGCTCACCAACCAGACCAAGCGGCCTCCCTTCCCATCCAGCCCAGTGGAGGAGAAGCCGAGCCAAGAGGATGAAGACTTGATGGATCAGCTGCTGCAGGAGCCCACCCCCAACACGCCCCTTTACATCAAGAGAAAATTTGATGAGATGGAAACACCCGATGTTGAGGTCAGTCACAAAAAAGCTTTCCCCATCAACCAATTCGACACAGGGCACTCGGAAATTTTATCCATTGAAACCCCTGCTGTATGGGAACAACTCCACATTTATCACATATTAGTTTAGAAAATTTTTTAAAAATCTAATAACAAATCTATTTTGTTCTATATTTTTATGAAAGAAATTGATTTGCATTCATAACTGGTCCATTTATGTGTCATATTACATTAGTTCCCACTTGCTTTATTTGTGTAAATTCTTAAAGAACCATGACAAAGTACTTGATTACTCATGAGCATGATGCTACTAAAGTTAATCTGCTATCAAAATAATGAATACTCCTTGTCTATTCTATAATTAAAAATTTGGAAGTTATCCACCATGATCTCGTATCTTGCGAGGCTTTCATTTAAATGGTGAGATCTCCGCTAGCTACAAATAACATGAAAACAACGTGTTTGAGTGGCCTGATTTTGCTGTTACGACGGTTTGAATGGGTTAATTAGGCCATTGCTGTACATGAAGTCATACCATTTTAATAACACTACCCTTAAAATAACGATATGCTACTTTATCTGACACAGATTTACGTAACGGCAGTTGAAGCTCAAGCGCCAGTTTTGAAGATCTGCATTTTGACATTCAACATTATTTAATGTAAAAAAAAAAATTTCTTACACTCCTTTGGGGGGCCCACCTCAAGTAGGGGCCCCGGGGACTTTAGAATTTGGACTCCCCCCCCTTAGCTACGCCACTGTAAGCACATTTCCCTTTAAGTTAAACACATGATTTTACAGTGCTGTGTTGCTGTTGATATTTTTAAACAACACTTGAGGGGGAAAAAAAATCATTCCACTATTTCTTGGTCTCTATCTTCCATCTCAACATCCTTCAGGTCCTTGACCATGTTGGGGTGCAGCTGACCGATGCCATAGAACAAAAAGAAGAACTTTGCCAGGATATACTAATAATACTCCTGTCCATCATGTGGAAAGCTATTGAGGGCTCCAGCAAGGAGATATGGAAGGTAGGTAACATTTCTGTCTTGAACTGTTGAGTTTGTTTCAGTAAATATGATACTGATAGTGAAGTGCTACTTTTTGCTTTTCTACAACATAAACACTTGAAAGGGACAGTCATGATCGGCAGCGGAGATAAAGTTAAACAGTGAAACAAACTGATTCTTGTTTTTTAATGTTTGTTATAAAAATACAGGATCAACTGTTAATTTAAGCCTTTTGAAAGATTGCACATAATCCATAGTAAATATATTTTACAAAGTGCATGCCATCTATTTGATATGGATTCTGCACAATGTTTCAAAAAGCTTGTTTGTTACAGCTCACTTAAGACTTGTATGTTACAGTTCACTTAAGACTTGTATGTCACAGCTAACTTAAGACTTGGTGTGACAGTTCACTTAAGACTTTTATGTTACAACTGAATTAAGACTTTTATGTTACAGCTTACTTAAGACTTGTATATTACAGTTCACTTAAAACTTACATGTTACAGCTCACTAAGACTTGTATTTTACAGCTCCCTTAAGACTTGCATTTTACAGCTCACTTAACTCTTTTCATTCCTCTTATATAGAGAGCGTACAACTATATACGTTGGTTATTTTTGCTAATAAAATATTGTCTTTTTTATTTTTTAAGTGTTCTATACCTATTTTATCATATATTGGGAAGAAATATATATTTAAAAAATAATATTTAAAGATTTTAATTAATAATTGATGTTTTTTTGCGAGTTCGAGGTTCACGTGACATGCCGAAGCGTTACTCGCCATTTTGGGAAAATTTGTGCAAGACTAGTCGACTCGGCAGCCAAAAATTTTAAATAATGAATACTACTGACGAAAATATTGATCAAATTTTATCTGAAACATCTGGGGAAGATAGTTGGGAACCTGAATCTTGTGACTTTGATTCAGATTTTGATGAGAATCTGCCTTTATAGCCCATTATAGTCACTAAAACTAGAAGGTTAGTAATCAAGTGTTTCGTCATTCTATATTTTTTATAGATTTTTTACTTTTATTTTTATTTTATCGGTTTAAATTGTATTTTTAATCATAATTGAAGTATTTACTACCCATTTTAAAATGAATCTACGCAAATAAAATCATTGTATAATTTGCGAATATTTTATTACATAAATAATTTTAGAAGACGTTATGCTTAGAAACTGTTGCTAAGGAATGTAAACAATGCAGTCGGCACTGTTTATTATGATATATTTCATCCTAAAGACCATGAATTTGACATCCATGTGTGTTATAAAAAATGAATTATCTGACACTAATTTTTTTTTTTTCATAACGGTTTTTACACAGTATTTGAAGTATTAAAAACTGGAAATTTAAGTAAGTATATATTTTATATTCATTGCATCCCTAATAGTTGCATCATATAGGTCTATAATATTAGTTCTTCTTTTACATTCACATGCTAGGCTTGTATGAGGTTCGAGATGATGACCCACTGGTTTCCACTCCTAAGTTTCCCCCAGCCAGAAAGCCAGGCTGACTTGTGTGGGAAGAAATGTCATCATAACATGGCTACAATCTGCAACCTAAAGTCTAAGGATTTTCAAGATATGTTTCACACTGAATTTGGTTGAAACATTTGTAAAATACACCTATTCAACTACCATGGGACCTTCTAAACCTTCCATCAACTGTGGTTTGTTGATAACTCATCCTAAAGTCTAAGGATTTTCAAGATATGTTTCACACTGAATTTGGTTGAAACATTTGTAAAATACACCTATTCAACTACCATGGGACCTTCTAAACCTTCCATCAACTGTGGTTTGTTGATAACTCAATAACATACCACTTTTACACATTTCTAGGACTACTAATGTGCATGTCAACTGTACAAGTCCTCAGTGTACAAAAATACTTGTCAACCGCAACAATGTTTTATTATTAAGTGCAAAGTGAACTTGTCAGACTTTAACAGAAGTAAGTAAAGATAAAAACCAAAGCAATGTGATATGATGTGATGGATAAGAGATAATATAATTTATACTATGTTCAGTGGAGATAAAATAGACAAGCCTCACTAATTTCAAATAATATGACAGCAAATGGATTTTCTTTTGTGAACAAAACCAAAACTGATGGTGTATTTCTAGGCAATTATTGGGGAGAAAACCAAATATTGTCTAATCAGATTTTGAAATCATACAATTCATTCCTGTGACCTGTATGGTGTTGACAAGTTGATAAATGAATATATCATTCTAAGTAAAGAGAACAGCACTGGACCAATCCCTTTTTCCATTTTGTTGATAATGCCAGCTATAATCTCTTCAGGATTTTTCAAAAGAAAGCTATGATATAGATGAACTGAAGCTACCTGACATTTTATTCTCAATTGACTTCACCGAGGAAATTATTTTAGCATTTGATTATTTACTAAAAGGGATGCAGTTCCAAGTGCTGCAAATGTAAAAAAACACCAAATACAACCTAAATGCAATAATTCCTGATTGCATAGATTTTAAAAGCAATTGTCAGTGTGCTAGTGCTATAAATTAGGAATGCTAAGAAAATAAAATTATAAATCAAATATAGCGCATGGTAAATTTATCTTTGTTAAAATAACAAGAAACTTTCTGACTAACAGTACCAGGAAGTTTAAAGCCTCTATTACTTTTTAAAACCTTGAAGTAATTTTTAAAAGGTAAAATAAAAATAACCTGTAATTTTTGTGAATACTTGGTGGGGGGGCGGTGATTTTTATTTTTTTAAAATTATTTCCCCTTTTTGACACATTTTACAAAATAATAAATATTTTGGTTAAATTCTCATGAAATGTTCTAAATCATGCATATGATATAAGAAAATGAATTTGCTTTCTAAATAAACATTTTATTAAATAATTTTATGTGTTTTTTTTTTCTTCTTTGCATGTGATCAACAATTTTAAAAAACACATTTTCATTAAAAAAAAAAAATTGCATTATTTTTTTCACAACTTTTAAGTATTGACTTTATGTGTTTGAAAACAAATATTTTTAGAAACCTCATGCATCTCTCCACAATAATATATATAACATCATGAACTTTAGACAAGGATTCTAAAAGTTATTGACTCTTTTTTAAGGTCACTAGAAATCTCATGAAAAACTTGCAAAATTAAAGGAATGTAAAGAGTTAAGACTTGTATGTTGCAGCTCAGTTAAAACTTGCATGTTACAGCTCCTTGAGGATGTCATGTCTCTGCTTGATGCTCTGGGTGTCTGGGACACAGACGCTATGGTTGCCTGGACAGAGATGGTCCACCGAGTGTTCTCAGTGCTGCTAGCATTTTCGAAGCAACCAGATCAGGAGGTATACAAATATTGTCTCATTTCATTGATAGCATGACTAGGAGTTGATGATTGGTATTTGGTGTTGATAATTGATATATGGGGTAGATATTAGGTATTTGGGGTTGATGCTGGGTATTTTGGATTGATACTTGATATTAGGGTTGACTGGTTGGCTGTGTGGTCGGTACCGATTAAGAGCAAATGAAAACAAAAATCCAAACACCTTGTGTGAATAGTTCTCAGAGACACATGTTGCGGCACTTCACCATCGTCATCTCAATGAGAGGGACAGATGACTATCAAGTTGTAGAGAAAAAAAAAGTAATGTCAAATCTTTGGATGATTGAATCATCTATATAAGCATCATTGAGTAAAATCTTATTAAGTTTCAATTCATGCTTCAGTTTATTCTCCGCTGTTCATTTTGACCTTTATTTCACAGCTGGTATCCTCGTCAACTGTCAGGCTGCACTCCCTCGTCCAAACCAAGCTCATCAGCAGCTCGGCCGAAGCTTCCTACATCCTGGGGGGGTCTTGAACTCAATGATCATTAAGTCCATTGAAGGTACTTATAAGTTACTTCACTTGCGTAACAAATTTAGGTACATCACTATTCAGCTTTGTTTCTATTACCCCCAAAACGCAACTTTTTTCATTTACCCCACAATATTAGATATCCTACTATTCAAAATAATATCCGGAACAAAACTATTCAAATTTCAAAACAATATCAGATACCCGACTGTTAAACATCTATTAACAAAAATTCATCTCAATGTTACAGAGAACTGAATAAGCACTATTTAATGCATTGATTTCTCTTGCCAACTCAGACTCAGACAACTATGCCTACCTGATGCCTGTGTTGAGAGCTTTGATTGAAAAAGGTCAAGAACTCTTGACCACCAGCATTGATCTCCCTCATCTTCCCAAGTCATCCATGAGTCCCACATTTTTTGATGACTTCAAGACATACGTGTACAGTGATGAATGGCAGATGTTTATAATGAGCTATGTGAGTATGTGTACATGGCAGACATTCATCAAGTGTGTGTCCAGTGATGAGTAGACATACATGGAATATGTGTGCATTGGCAGACATTCATAGAATGTGTGTACAGTGATGAATGGTAGACATTCATAGAAAGTATGTGTGCAGTGATGAATGGCAGACATTTGTAGAATATTTTTTTACAGTGATGAATAGCGTCATATAATTGTTGCCGTGGTTCTTGTAGGTTGGACCCCAAATGACCCACTTCATTGAGATGAACTTTGAGGAGAGTGCCCAGACCATGATCCACTTCTGGTCAGACTGTCATGAGGAGATGATGATGAACCATCACAAACACAACAGAGAGATAGGGGAGAGCAGGCTCAGATTTCAGGTAAGTTGGTAAGGTAAACACTAGCCCAGTTTTTGCTCAATCATTTTTTGCCCCATCGCCCGAGCTGAGCGCCTAAAACAAAAAAATAAACACCCTATCCTGTCCTTCCCTTTGCTCTGACACACTTTAATTTTTTGACCAGTCCAAATAAAATTATGCAATGGATTTGTCTACCTCCTTGCACATTGTCTGCACATGTATCAGGCCATGCATACTTATTACTAATCACAGACGGGAATTATTCATCCCTTCATAATCACTATTGACTCTGTGTGCAAGATCAACGAAGGTTGCGGGCTGAATGTGGTCCGCTGGATGCAGTTTGCCAAGCCATATTTGTAGAATGAAACTTACAGCAAGTGCCATGTGTTTGGAAATCAAGCCATTACAAATAAAGGCAGGGATTAGGCAGGGAGTAACTTTTAAAAGTATACTGTCTGCCCCCCCCCCTCCCCTTTTCTTCCCTTTTTAATTGGTTCTTTCTCAGCGATTAAATAATATGCTCCCTGTTTGGAAATCAAGCCATTACAAATAAAGGCAGGGATTAGGCAGGGAGTAACTTTTAAAAGTATACTGTCTGCCCCCCCCCTCCCCTTTTCTTCCCTTTTTAATTGGTTCTTTCTCAGCGATTAAATAATATGCTCCCTCCCCCCCCCCTCGGAGCATATAATATACCCTCACACAGGGAGACATTGCTTTAGCGGATGATCATTATTATGTCAAATAATGATATTTATTGAAAACCAAACAAATGTTGATTGACATGAGAACTGAAAATATCAACTGCAAATATCAACTAGCATTGACACAAAGAAAGGAAAACTGTTTTTTTTTTTTTGTTACTTTTTACATAAAATAATCAAAGAGAGTATGGACTTACATCAATCAGACAAATGGTCCAAAATAACAAATTGCAATATGAACATGGGAGAGATTTGTTTTTTTCCCTTGGCTTCAATTGTTGCCACTACTGGTTGGATGTTGGAATGGAACTATTGTTGCCACTACTGGTTGGATGTTGGAATGGAACAATTGTTGCCACTACTGGTTGGATGTTGGAATGGAACAATTGTTGCCACCACTGGTTGGATGTGGGAATGGAACAATTGTTGCCACCACTGGTTGGATGTTGGAATGGAACAATTGTTGCCACCACTGGTTGGATGTTGGAATGGAACAATTGTTGCCACCGCTGGTTGGATGTGGGAATGGAACAATTGTTGCCACCACCGTTTGGATGTGGAAATGGAACAAATGTTGCCACCACCGGTTGGATGTGGGAATGGAACAATGGCACTTCTATATTAAGTTGATGACTTTTAAAGCACTGAATGAGTATTCAGAACCAGATAGAGACTGAGTACCATAAGAAAGTAGACCATGAGAACAGAAGGTTCCAGAACGTGATGGCACAGCAAAAAAATCTGCACCTGTTTTCACTGAGACAGTGGAGGGCCACCAAGAGATTCTTCAAAGGCGAAAGAGGGGCTTGGAAGGACAAGTAAGTCTCTTAGTCTGGTCAGGTGACTCACATTGTTTGAATGGTCTCAGCCAGGGATCTGCAACCTTTTTGGACTGAGGAGCCACTTTTATAAAGTATATCTGCTGTGCAAATATTTTGGGACTGCTGGTCTTGGTTGAATATTTTAAGTTGCCCAAACAGATATTTTTCTTAGTGAGGTAACTTTATATTCTAGAAGGTCATGTGAATCGGTAGACAACTCTAACTTATAAAAACATTTGTTGTGTGCCCCTGTTTTCTCCAGACATCAACAAGTGGTCCACTGGAAACTGTCTAACCAAGAAAACTTCCAGCCCATGAAAGTAAAACTGACCCAGAACTACAATTTTGATAGTCACATCAATGCCAGCCAACTCAGGGACAATGTGGGTATGTATAGCACAGGGGACCCCAGCCACCCCAGGGACAATGTGGGTATGTATAGCATAGGGGACTCCAGCCACCTCAGAGACAATGTGGGTATGTATAGTACAGGGGACCCCAGTCACCCCAGGGACAATGTGGGTGTGTATAGCACAGGGTCCCCAAGCCAACTCAGGGACAATGTGGGTGTATATAACTCAGGGGCTCCCAGCCAACCCAAAGATAATGTGGTTGTGTATAACACAGAGGCTCCCAGCCAACTAAGGGACAATGTGGGTATGTTTAACACAGGGAACCCAGCCAAATCAGGGACCATGTGGGTATGTTTAACACAGGGAACCCAGCCAACTCAGGGACAATGTGGGTATGTTTAACACAGGGCCCCCAGCTAACTCAGGGACAATGTGGGTATGTACTGTAATAAAGAAGTCCCCTGTCACTTCATGGACAATGTGGGTATGTGTTCTAACACAGGGGTCCCAGGTTATTTCGGGGATAATGTGGTTTTGTAATATTGGGATTCCCTGTCATCCCAGGCAAAATTTTGATATCTTGAGGAGCAATTGATTCTGTGACATCACTCCGCTTAGAAGAACTCAAGGGAGTTAAAGAAGCTTTGGTATCAAAAGAAAACATTGCAGACGACACACTTGGAGATGAAGAGTGGAGCGCCATCTCAGCTTCAAGGTGTGACCTTGACACTAGTATCAACATAAACTTATTCATCCTCAACCAACCAAAACTACACTTTATTTGGAAACAAGTGCTGCATTGTTAATTAAGACTATATTGTATGTAGCTTTAACTTACATGTTGTCATCAATGGTGTAAACTAGAAGTACTCAGCCACACATGCCAACCTGTACATTTTGTCAGTAATTAGTACGAGTGTTAACAAATTTTAAAAGTTGTTCAGTCATACATGATTCTTTGCGGTTTTCAATGGATTTAGAAAAGAACAATATTTTCACATGACACGACAGTGACGACACAGAATTGAAATCTTAACTGGCAGTGCAATAAATTGTTCAACAGGAAGCTGAAACCCTATTGGTCTTTTCAAAATGAACTTTGGTCCAAAGTTCAAAGATTGAAATTTTAGAAACTGAGCACAGTTTCGTTGAGTCACAGAGATCAGTCAGCATAGTACTGACACCATTCGTTCATAGTACTACAGCCTCGTTTAACCATGGTTGCACAGCGGTTTGTGTGATTCTCATTAACACCTCATATCCACAAAGGGCATATGTTAAAAAAATAATAAAACTCTCCACCTGATTTTTCCCCATACTACGTTGAAACTACAGGTATAAACTGACGGTAGAGCTAATAGATTGGTCGCGACAGTCAATATGTATTTCCTTTCATTCATTTTGAAACAAAAATCTGTATTACTACAGCTAGCATGATTATGTCTATGTCTAATTACATCTAAACTGCTAACAAATTCAACATCTGAGTCATTTTACATAAATATTGCTACTGACCAGTGTAATTATGCATGCACAGCGAAGGGGAGATTATTCGTGAAAATTAGGTCTATCCCAAAGGCAAAGTTTGCATGCATTGAAAACATTGATAATTAAAGGATGAAAATGTTCCCTATTTTTCTTTTTCTTTTTTTAAAATTTTCCCTTTTTTTTTTTTTTTTTTTTTTTTTTTTTTTTTTTTTTTTTTTTTTTCCCCCCCCCCCCCCCGTAATGTTTTTCATGCTGTTTTACAGTTTTCTGGGACTTTTGTGCAGTTTTTGGGGGACTTTTGTCCAATGTCCAGTTGTTTTTTTTATCCCAATAGGTTGCCATGTATGACTCATGCCAATGGATAAGTTTTGATTTTAGTTGTTACTTGTATTAGCCTTTTAATGTGCAATGAATTATCGTTCTGAATTTGAAACAATATCACATCGTAATTAGGAAATCTGTCGAGCAACTCATCACAATAAATTGAAAGTCTAGAAGATAAAAAAAAATATCTAGAACTTGCATTTGTAACTTCTATATGTGTAAGACTCCACCAGCACATCACATCGGCCTTTACCTGGTTGCCCCTTGTATTTCCAGTGCCAACATTGAAGAATGCACGGGGTGAGAAAAGCTGGTCTTCTCCGCTGATTGTGAACTTATCACAGTGACGGATGATATTAAAGGAAGGCTTGAGGTCACCGCAACCCTTGTACATTTCTTCGACTGCAGCCCCCACAAGAAAGAGGGTGAGAATAAGGATCTCACCATTTGTACGGCGCATATATGCTGGTCCACCTGTTGAATTTCCTGTTGATGGGCTCTTTTATTTGCTTTTTTTCCCAAGTATCTAACTGCAGATTTGTTCTTAAATGAAATTACTTTTTTTTTTTTTTTTTTAAGTTTTTTTTTTAAACAATATTTTGCCTTTTTTTTAATTTTTTTGGTTGGACAACCTTGACCCCTGTTAAATCAGCTTTCACCCATCATAGTGAGCTGAATCAAAGCACGTAACTTCTACTAGCTATCTTGCAGGCTCTGTTAAATCCATGATTGTGTCCTGATAAAAATGGAACCCTTTTTAAAATGGTGGAAACTAATTGTAAATATCTATCAATTTTTTAAAATTCCTAAACTCATTTTAATTCTTATGTAATGTTATATCTTATTAAGGGCCATTCATTTTTTGGGGGGTAAATATGTCAGGACTAAAGTGAGATGTATTTTTTAAATTGATGTAAGTGTTTTTCATCATTATAAGAAGGGTTCCCATTTTTTTTCCTCCTGACACAGTGTGGCTTCATGTTTCTGCTTGGAAATTTCAAAAAGAATCTAGTTTAAAATTGTAAGGGTCTTTCCATTTTTTTTCTTCACAATACTCATTTAAAATGGGGATGACAGTTTTTTAATGTTGCTTTGCCAAATTAAGAAATTATTTTAAAAAAGTACTTTTACTTAATATCTCTTCAACTACTTCAAGTGACAGTCTACTTAAAACACATTTCTATACTTCAAGTGACGGTGACATTCTATTTTTAAAATGTATGTACAACTACTTAAAGTGAGAGGGACAGTCTACTTTAAAAAAATGTCTCTACACACTCAGAATCCTTTCTCATGGGATCATGTGATAGCAAAAAACAAATGTTTAATTGTTTTAAAAAAAGAAGTTAAATATTTTACTAATTCTGTTTTGTGTTTTCAGGAGGTGAAGATTTTAAGTGGTCTTTGTCTCGACTTCGGGAAATTCACTTCCGTAGATACAATCTGAGACGTAGCGCCCTGGAAGTATTCCTCATCGATCAGACCCACTATTTCATCAACTTCCCTGAGAAGGTAGAGCCACCGTATCATTTGATCTTTTATATTGATAAGCATAATTCAACCAATGAAATTGAGGGTTATCAAATGAAGTGGTTCCTAACAACTTGCCTAAGATTGTGGTTTATAATTTAAGTTTAAGCCTACTGGAGTGAGTCCTGAACACAAAGAAGCAGCTTGAAAGTGCTGAATAGCGAAAGTTGTTAGTCAAAAGCCTTGTTGTAAATGGACGAAGTGAGACGTAAAGGGCATTAATAGGAAATTTGAATTCTCAAACTTGTAATTTTGTCTGCACTCTCCTCAGACCTTGCGTAACAAGATTTACAGTCACATATTGAGTTTGCGATCTTTGAACCTGATCTTCAAAGGTCAGAGGTCACCCGGAAACCTGCTCGGGGCTTCTGGTCTCACTCAGGTAATCAAGGGCAGTTATTGTGTTTTATTCTTATAGTTACACAGTCGCATATAAGTCTTTGCTACTTGAATCAACATAAAAATATTTAACCCACTCCCACAATGTCCTCACAAATGGGTGAACAGAGAGATCTCAAACTTTGAATACCTGATGCAGCTCAACACGATAGCAGGCCGCACCTACAATGATCTGAGCCAGTACCATGTGGTGAGTAGCATTGCTGACTTGAGCCTGGCCTCTAATGGGGGTATGTTCCAAGGAGAATTTATGTTTCAATGGGGCCTGTATTGCAACCGCCGGCCAAACCTGAAACTAAATTTATGTTAGATCAAAGTATTTCCACAAAAAGTTTAATCAATTTCATTATATCATAATACTAAGACTTCTTATCAAAAGGGTAACATTTTGTTTTGAAAGGAATACAATTTTAATTGATCCATGTTTTGTTTCTTCAGTTTCCATGGATACTGATGGATTACACATCCAAGTTTTTGGACCTTGAAAACCCCAATACCTTCCAGGATTCGTCCAAACCCATCGGAGCTGTCAATCCACGCAATGAGGAGGAAGTACGTGAAAAGTAAGTTGGTAAACATGGAAACCATTCCCCGTAGATTATGTTAGAAAAGTAAGGTAATATCAAGGGTAATCAGCCCACATAGATTATTGTTACAAAAGTAAGTTTATCTAATGACGCCATGCTGAAATCCATCCATTGTATTGGACCCACTTTGTAATATCTGGATTGAACAACCACTCTGACAACAACCTATATTCCCATAAATTCAACATCACACTGCAGCACTTTTTTCCATATCAACCAAATCCTCTTTTATCAATTCTTTCATAAGGTTAATTTTATTTTTAATCATATCCACTTTTTCTCTTCTTTCCTAAGGGTAATTTTATTTTTCCTATTAGCCATATTCTATTTTTCGCTTATTTCATGAGGTTAAATTTTTAAAAATAAAAATTATATTTATTGATCATAATACGTGTGACAATACATCTTGTTTACCTTGGTACCAGAATGCCAGCACACCAAATAATTGTGGAATCTGGATGATTTAAGCTATTGAGAAAGCATTTTAACTACTTTAAATATTCACAAGGAATGGCCAGAATGTTACAAAAATCATGCCACAAAAAAAAGGTATTTATTAAAGACTATACAGTATCAAATACTATAGAACACATCCTTTCCCAACAGAAACGACACCTTTGAGGACCCGTCTGGGATTATAGAAATGTTTCACTAAGGCACCCACTACAGCAATGCTGCCAGTGTCATGCAGTATTTGTCAGGGTCGAACCGTTTACAACTCTGCACATAGAGCTTCAGAGTGGCAAGTAAGAAGTAAGTGCATAGAGACGCTGGTGGATGCTGGTGGAAGGGAGGGAAGGGGGGTGGGATTACAATACTGCACATAGCTTCAAAGTGGCAAGTAAGTGCATAGAAACACTGGTGGATGCTGGTGGAAGGGAGGGGGGTTACAATACTGCACATAGCTTCAGAGTGGCAAGTAAGTACATAGAGACACTGGTGGATGCTGGTGGAAGGGAGGGGGGTAACAATACTGCACATAGCGCTTCAGAGTGGCAAGTAAGTGCATAGAGACACTGGTGGATGCTGGTGGAAGGGAGGGGGGGTTACAATACTGCACATAGCGCTTCGGAGTGGCAAGTAAGTGCATAGAGACATCCATCTGTACATGATCAACTGTATCAAATGACATTGCATCTGTGTAAATTTCTGAAATCCAATGGGCTATTGCTAGAGCTGTGCTTGAAAATATTGACATGAAATCAAATAGGATTCAAAGGAATGCTGAATTTTTCCGTATGTGGATAACCAAATCTGTTTATATAGTGGAAAGTTGATCCTTCTTTTATTAAAAGCTTAGACAATACTGCCTTAGGAATGGGTAAGAACATGATTTCTGCAAGAAAAGGTTGTGTGAAAGAACAGGTTGCGTAGGACAGGTTGTGTCGAATTACAGGACCATCAAAAAACATTTCACCTGAAATCCTTTATCAGCAGACATTTAATTGCAAGTTTCCTGTGTGTAAATCACCTGTATAATGATGCTACATTTATGTCAATCACTTCACAGGTTTGATGTGCCCGACCGTCAGTTCCACTCAATTCATGGGAGCTTCTCCTCCCTGATGGACAACCCAAATGATGTCAAGGAACTCATCCCAGAGTTTTTCTACTTCCCCGAGTTTCTTGTCAACTTCAATGGTAAGTCTTAATGCATAGGGGGCGGTGCATTCTGCAGCACTGCTGATATTGACATGCTCATCTTTTACTGCAATACTTTATTTGAAACACCCTTGCTTTCAATTACTCGTCATAACCTGAAATTGTTCTATTATTGTTCTGGTGACATTTGCTGTTAATATTTTTTAAAAAAAAATTTCACATAAAAAAACACACCTTTTCTTGACTTCACTCATTGCAAGATTATGACAGCAGATGTAGGTGGGACATTTTCTCAAGTACTAACGCAGACCAATTGTTTTTTGTCATGTCAAGGTTTTGATCTGGGAAGACTTCAGATCACCAAAGAGTCTGTCGACGGTGTCAAGCTGCCGCCCTGGGCCAGCACACCTGAAGAGTTCATTTATCAACACAGACAAGCCTTGGTAAACCTTTTTTTTTTAATGGCTCTTGTTTGTTTGGTCACATGACATGTTGTCATGTATGACAATCTGTCTCCTTGGACCAGCCACGCTTCATGGGTTTATCACTGGGATGTTAGACAGTATAGATGTGACTGTACTGCTTTAAATGTTGGGGTGTTGAAAATTGGGGGTACACCCCACCCCCTCTTTTCCTGTCTGTGGCACTATGATATCAAATAACTGTAAGTGGTTTATAAACAGACTACTACTGTATGACAAGGTGTGACCCATGCAATATGCCCCCCAATGTGACTTCTTGCCTATTGACTGTATTGGAACTGTTATTTAAGTAATAAGTAATAATCAATGACATATCTAGACACTGACAAGATGTGTTTTATATGAGTATAAGCACAAAATATCATTGAATATGTTTTGAATCATTTTATTTTTTTGCTTCTATGTGTAAATTGTTCCATGTGTAATGTGTAGATACATTGAAAATAGTTTCAAGGATAAATGGCCTTGATTTTTATGGTAGGCCCTAGTCAGATTAAATTGAAATAACTGACTTCCTGTTTCCTCAGGAAAGTGAGTATGTTTCGGCCCATCTACACAACTGGATCGACCTGATATTTGGATACAAACAGAAAGGCTCCGCCGCAGTGGAGGCCCTCGACGTCCTCAATTACGTTACATATGAAGGTATGCATGTCCTCTATTACAAATTAATTATGCAAAATGCAAGTCATCAATTATGATGGCAGGTTGTCATGTTTACTACTTCCCAGTAACTAATTTCTTTAATAAATAACACCATCAACGTGTGCATAAATGTTTAATAAATAACACCATCAACGTGTGCATAAATGTTTAATAAATAACACCATCAACGTGTGCATAAATGTTTAATAAATAACACCATCAACGTGTGCATAAATGCTTAATAAATAACACCATCAATGTGTACATAACGTTTCATAAATAACAACAACAACTTGTGCATAAATTTTAAATAAATAACAACAACAACGTGTGCATAAATGTTTAATAAATAACACCATCAATGTGTGCATAAATGTTTAATAAATAACACCATCAACGTGTGCATAAATGTTTAATAAATAACACCATCAACGTGTGCATAAATGTTTAATAAATAACACCATCAACGTGTGCATAAATGTTTAATAAATAACACCATCAGTGTGTACATAACGTTTAATAAATACCATCTGTGACATTAGATGTAGATAAGAAATGAAAATTACCAACCATGATACATAGAGGTGAACATCTTAAACAGGAGAAGACTGGTAATGGGTTTGTGTAAATGTGTGAGAAGGAAACTTAAAGGACTAAAGTCGGGGAAAAGGGGGGGGGGGTGTGTACATTTGATCAGGTGTTTGTTGAATTTCTTCATCTGTGTGATGTATGAATCATCCAGGCGTGACTAAGAGACTAAATCTCCACATTACCTTTTTTTTCTGAAAGTAAATCATTCTTTTGCATGGCTCGGAAT